TATGGATGGAAAAATCTGTAATGATCTTAAATCTCTTAAAATTTCAGCACCAATCCAATAAAATTTTATACAGTTTTTTGAGTAGGCTGTCACACTTATATTCGAGTATGGAGAATAATAAATAGCTACATCCTTTGTAAATAGGACAAGCAATAGTGAAGAAATGTTTCAAACCAGATATTCAGGTATACAAAAACCCATAATAATAGATAGAAAGTGGGGTTCTTCCACAGAAACAGATAATACACAAATGAAAGGGAATGGACTAGAAAGTTCAAAAGCATACTCATACACTTATTAAAAGTTTATATATGATAAAGGTGGTACCACAAATCAAAAGGTGAAAGGAGAAAACTTTTGGTATCTTTATTTTTTCTATAAAAATTAGCTGGGATCATACATTACGCCTTAAACTTTATTCCTAATATAAAAGTGGACTTCAGCTGTATCAATTGTAAGTTAAAAAAATGTTAATAAAAGAAGCTAGGAGAATAACTTTATTAATAATTAAAGAAATGCAAATTATCAACAAAATGATATTCTCGTTCCACCAGATTAAGAGGAAAAAAAGCTCAGATATTAGTCAGCTTTGACAAGGATGTAAGGATAAGGAAATGTGAGTCCCCTATTCCTCTTGAGATGTAGGCATTTCAGAGAGAAATCTGGCAGTTCCTAGTGAAGTGCCTATAAATATTATGCCTAAAAGTTGTACTTTGGGATAGATAAGCCTGAAAAACTACTGAAAAGACATATACTAGGACATTTGTTGCAGTGTTCTATGCAGTAAAAAGAAATTAGAGCCACCTATGTTTATAGAGGCACAGTTTGTAATAGCTAAAACTTGGAAACAGCCTAATTGCCCATCAACTGGTGACTGGATAAAGAAGATGTGGGTTTTGTTGTTGTTGTTGTTGTTGTTGTTGTTGTTGTTTTGTAAAATGGAGTACTGATCAGCCATAAAGAATGAGAAACTAGAGACATTTATATCTGAATGGATGCACATTGAGGCCATACTCCTAAGTGAAATAAATAGGGCACACATGTGTAAATACTAAATAGTTTCTCTGGTGTGAGAAACTGAAAGTGTAAACAAGGATCAAAATGTATAATAGATAATGTGAAATAGGAAGATAAGTCCCAAAGGGGAAGGGGAAGTGGGAGGGAAAGGAATAAATATGAGAAAAGGAAAGAAATGGAAACAAAGTTATTGTAAATAGGGAAGGGTGGAGGGGCTGAAGGGAGGGCAGGGAAATGGGGAAGAAAACAAGAACCAAGATACATCATGTAAAGGTACAAATTCCTGATGATGAATGTCATCATATTGCATACCTAGAATGTACCAATAAACTTAATGAATTAAAAAAAGAAATTAGAGGCAGCCTAGGTGACCATCACTAAAGAAATGGAGAAGTAAACCATAACATATACTCTGCATCTCAGTGCCTCACTTCAGAACAGTCTGTATGATGTGCACCTAGCCAGTGCCAAGGATAGATTTCTTTCAAACACTGCTGTTGGCTCAAAAAAGAAGGAAAAGGGGAGAGAAAAAGGGGTGGGAAAGAAAAAAACAGGGGAAAATGACATGAGAAATAGAAAGAGATGTTAGCATAATACCATGTATGGAAAAAAAGGCCTAGTCAACATAGTATAGTCACATTCCTGCATCAAACAGATTTTACACGTGCCTATTGTATATGTGGAAGAATGGATGAGAAAATAAAGTAAAACAAAACAAAAAGGGGCCTGGCAGTCAAAGACATTCACATGCCAAGATTGGCTCTCTGCACTTGAGTCTAACAACAATAAATGAATTCCTCCTGAAGAGACACCCAGCGTACAAAACTTCAACTCCATGTGTGTCCTAAAATTTATGGTCAGGGATGGTGCAAGAAGGCAGAATGAACCCAAACAAGGCAGGACTGCTGAGAAGCAGTGGGTCTCTGGGAAGCGTATGCATGACCATGAAACTGATTTAGATGTAGGAACATCAAATCACATTTCACAGAATATTGAATCCTAAATCTAGCTGTATGTTAGACTTACCAGGAGATTCTTTTAAATAAGGAATTCATCGTGGTGGCCTGTACGCTTACAATGTCAGTCAGCTATCTGTGGTTCTTCTTTCAGATCCGCCCCAGCATCTTAGAGACATGGCCAGTCACAGTCCTAGGGTTAGAGGTCTGCTTTGTTAGCCTCCAACACAAGAGTTGCCTTACCTGAGAAAGGGGAGTCAGTCGGTGATTATTACAAAGTCTAATTTTAGAATTGGGATCACTATTCAATAATATTAATCACACACAGCTGTACAAATTACCTTTACTTTGCTCACGAGACAATCAAGACAGACTTTTTAAAAAAATACTCATTGTCACCCTGTGAATGGCGCTATCTCTGTGTGAATCTTTGTTTTAATTAAGTCTCCCTTGCTTTCTGGTTTTGGCTTTTATAGGGCTGGTTATTTTCAGCCGCAAGTAGATTTTTATCACCAATGAAGAGAGTAAAGGAAGAGTGTAAAGCTTAATCAGCCTGGAAGTCTTTTACCTCCATTAGGCATCTTTGTTTTACAAGTGTAGGTTTTACTAAAAATCAAACCAAAAATGCCCCTAGAGTCCAAGTCCTCAGCTGCTGAACACAGTGCAAACCCTCGGGGACAGTACATGTCTTGCACATTTCTCATCCAAGCTTGCAAGGCTGGAAGAGTTTGTCTGACAGCAGAGGTGCGACTCTGACACAGTTTAAGATTGGTGGCATAATAAGAAGACAGTGAGCCAAAGAGAAAGTGTGAATTAGAAAAAGAAATTATTTTTCTCTTTCCTTGAGCTGTAAATAACATCACCACAATGCCTTCCTTCCAAAACTCTAGGCCAAAGTGCTAGGGGAGAAGAGTTTGCTAGATAGCTTTTGTCTCGAAGGACATCATCACCAAAGAACTAAATTTGCTAAAGAGTCAGTTTTCAAACTCTCGTCCCATGAAACTAATAATTTACTTGGTTCTTCCACCTCAGGCTGTGGCAGTTCACTTTCCTACATCCTCCATCTTACCCACCAGCCGAAGACAAGCAAGATGTCCAGTAGAGGAAGGCAGTGGTTACGTGTTTCCTTTCTCCAGGATGAGAAGATATATAGAAAAAGGCAATAATCTAGGGGAAGCTGCTAATGCTGCTGGGAAATATTGGGGCTTAAAATGTAAGCATGGGGAGAAGCTACATTGCTGTCAAAGAAATAAACAAATGTGATAGCTGGTGGCAAGACAGTGCTAAGCAGGAGATCTTTTGGAAATTAAGAGACATCTGGGGACTTGTGACTCCAATTGTGGATAAACATAGCCTGAGAACTTGTTGCAAATACAGAATCTCAGACTCTTGCCAAACCCGCTGAATGAGGATATAGAGTTTAACAAACCACTGACTGGTTTGCAGTCACATTTGGTTTGAGAAGCTTTGAATTAAGATACTTTCTAATTTTAGGGTCCCAGTAAGTTAATAAATATAAACCAAAATGATGAGGTTTTTATTGTGCGTACTTAGCTATTTGGTTCTTTAAACACATCCACATAAAAATTACAATGACTATAGCTCATTTGAAGCTAACATCAAAAGCCTAAAGTCTCAAATCACACTTCTTTGTGAATACCAGGCCCAAGTCCTCTGAGCCTCAGATAGGAACTGGGATAAAGAGAGTAACACCACTGCTCAACAGCTGTTTAGAACTCGGCAAGTCCCCATGCATCAGGCTCCTGTCCTAACTCTGAATGTGAAAAACTTTCCTCTACTATGAGGACACCAAGCTGCGGCAAGGCCATCTGTAGGCCTGCCCCAGAGAGAATTTTTGTGGTGCACCAAGTTATGTTTATGACCAGGCAGAAACACGAGCTTATCCTGATCAGTATCAGAGAAACCCATATGCAGTCTGTGTGAGCAAGAGGAGAATGACCTCCAGGGGCAGCCCACTGCAACAGTACATAAATAAATTGGCAGATGTGTCAACTATGCATATTAGTCCAGGAGTTCAGTTCTTTGGGGACTGAAGTCCAAAGACAAAGACATTTGTGGGTTGCCGGTCAATCTGGAGCATTTCTTCTAATTTTTCTGGATGTGTTTTTGACAAGAGCTTAAGGGCAGTTCAATAAATTAAAATGTATTTACATGGCAATGAAGAATTATCTTGACACACGGAGTTATTTAATTACCAAGGTGCTTTGCGTGCTGCTAAAGTTGAGACTGTGTCAGCCTTTCTGGGACAAATCTTTATTTTCAGGGCCATGTGGCTCAGCCAGGAATGATCCCCTGGGTTGGAGCTTGTCATTTATAGAAAAGGAGTCTCCTCGCTGACCCCCATTTCCATAGACAGCTCTAAACAGATCGGTAATCTCAATGTCAGAAATCATGATGAAGTCAGCACTTCCAAGGCCAAATGTCCCCCTTCAGGGATGTGGCCTCCCTCTCAGAGGAATTGTAAATGAAGTCATACCCCATTTGCAGTCTTCAAAGCGTGTCAGGGTTGCTATCTGTCTGAGTGACATTCAGAGAGTTGTCTTGCAGCATCACAAGGTAGGTGTATGATAAAAGTCTATCTGTGCTGGCCGCATCAAAACAAATGGGTAAACAGTGACCTCATATTCACAGGAACAGGAAGTTTCCCTAAGCTACACAATATACCATTCCTGTGGGGAAGGGAGTCCTGCTAAGATTCAGGCACTAAAAGATGCATAGTAAGAGAAGACAGAATGCGGAAACTCAGGGTTAAACTTTGTCCATAAGGTTATAACCTAATGAGCTATGAGTCCTCAGGGAAGTCACTGTGCTGCTCCAGGCTGAATCTTCCTCATAGACATGAGGGTTTAAATTACTAAGGAATTTGCTTTATTCTAATGCTAGGATTCTATTTCATTCCATTTCTAAAAACTGTAACTTTTCCTCCTCCATGCCTTCTGAATATCATCCTTGCAGGTGACTGTAAGGATTTTAGACACTGAATCCATCCCAAATTCATGCTTCTAGGGCCAGATATCTTGACTCTTGTGGTGGGATCTGACATCAGCCACTGTCCCAATACCCCGTGGGCAACCTGCTGTGGCTATCTACACAAGAGGACTCACTCAGGCTTCATGAAGGGTTGGAGGAAGAGGTGGTTTGTGCTGAAGCATGACAGCTGCCTCCACTATTATAAACATAAAAAGGTAAAGTGAGAGAAGGCATGGGGCTGGCCTGGGAAAGAACAAAAAACCCTAGGAAATGCAGTCCAATGATCTGGTCCATGTCTCAAGCATTGTTCTGAAAGGCACTATGTTGCAGAAGGCTGAAAACAGTTTTCTCTCCTGTGACTTCTTCGGAAATTTTCCATCTTCAAAAGCTCAGAGAATGGTAATTTATTTTCTCTGCTCCTGCATAAATCAAGGTTGACATAACTTTCTGTCTCATTTTTCCTATTTTCAGATCCTCTGTGAAAACATTTTTATAAAAGCCAGGAAAGCAAAAACCAAAGTAAATACCCAAAACCCTAGGGAAGTCAAGGTGGGCCTTAGACACAGGAGAGCTCAAAGGGACTGAGTATCTGGGTGCTCTTCCCTGGGTGGCAAAGCACGGGGAAGTGGCCTGGACTAGCTCATTTCATTTTTCCTCTTCTTTGACAGCAGTGATTTCTAATTACAGATGAGGGATGGAATCACCTCGGGAATACTTTCAAAATACGCAGACTCAGCCCACTCCCAGATGTTTCTAATTTGGCAGTCTGGGATAGGGCTTAGGACTGTGTATTTGGGGAAAGCTCTTCAGATGATTCTAATGAACACTTCACATTTTTTTCAGCACAAGTGTTTTCTCAGCCCTATGCAGTGGGCTAGTTTTCCAGTGTCTCAATTTTTAAATCAGATGGATGCGAACATGGTAGAAACAGATTTCACACAGAAATCTCAATTTCCAATTTCTCTTGGAAAATTCCCTAGCAACAGTTGGAAGGAGCTGAATAGACTCCTTTCCCCGGAGAGCACTTACTCTTTCCCACCTAACAAAAGTACCTGCCTTTCACCCTGTTGGCTTCCCTTGGATCACATTTGTGACCTTCCCCTAATCAGGTTCAAAGCAGGAGTTTGATTATTTATCTCATTTGTGATCGAATCTTTTTTCTGCTTTTATTTTACATGGCCCTAGTTTCTTAATTTTTAGCCACACACACGTACATGGACACACACACACACACTACACATACATGTACACACAGAGACATATATGTATGTAAACAGCCTTGGTTCCATTCTGGGACAGGTCAATAAAGAAATCAACTCATTGAAAAGCAAATAATGATTTTTGCATACTGAATTATTATGAGAACTTTCCATTGCTGGAATATGGATTGCTTGTTTGTGACACAGACTGCGAGATGCTCTGCCTTCTGGGGCAATGAAAGTCATACAGATGCTTTGAAAAACTTTGTCTCCCTCCAGTGCAGGAAAATAGGATTCTCTCTAATCAGGATGAGAAACAATCAACAAAGGATGAGAAACAACAAACAAACCTTTGGTTTCTTCGTCCTGAGTGTTAGAGGGTACAGACCAGAAGTTTCAGCCTGGTTGTGTTTCAGCAGCACTGGAGTTTTCCAAAGCACACATACAAAGTATCTCCTGCACTCGTATTTCTGAGAGTCAGGTCTTGGGTATTGTGTGTGTTTTTTAAGCTTGCAGGGTATTTCTTATTTGTACCTGGGGTGGGTATCGTAACAAAGTTTATTCCCATCTATATTCAAAGACATAAAAGACAATAATGTTATTTTGGCAATTGTTCTTTCTTCAGATCAGCATCCTAAGATTCTGTCCTTCCTGGCTTTTGTTGATAATTTTTGTTTCCTTTTATAAAATGGTGATAATAGTAAATGCCACAATTTAATACCCTTCTTTGGCAGCATAAATGGGTACAAAGAAGTTGAAGTCCAGCACTCCTCACTTCAAAATCCCTGGTTCTGCCAGGGACCTGGGTCTGCCAGGTGGCAATCATGAGACCAGTGCTGCCTGTCCTTGTTTTGTTTGGCTTGCATGGTGTTTTTATAAAATTTTTAATTAAATGCATTCAGGTGAAATATGCTGTACCATAATCCTCAGTTCCTTACGCTGTGCCCAGTCATTTGAATTATCCACTAGGTTCTACTGGGATTTAAATCCTGGACTGGAATTTATGTGAAAAGTCTTCTTTGCAAAAGAAATAGGGATCTTATGATGTGGATGCAGCTAGGAAAAAAGCATCAAGAGCAACTGAAATTGTGACCATCACTGCCACAATAGGTTATAATGTGGAGATTGTAGAATATAAAATTACAGCTTATTTTATTTATAGAGAACAAAAATCAAATCCCTTGTAGTGCTACAGACTCCAGAATACATCATGTCTGATCTTTAGAATAGATAGCAATGACTGAGAAGAGTTAATGGGGCATAAGAAGAACATAACAGAATAAATTAGCAGAAAATGAACTCAGCCATAGCATATTCATTCATGCAACAAGTATTTATCGAGTCTTTTTTTATAAGCCAAACATTATGTAAGCACTGGGAAGGCAACAAAACAGATACGATGCCTGCCCTGTTTGTGCTTATAGTTCCATGGAAGAGACTAATATTAAAAGTAGATTCACAAATAAATATGCAATTGTGATTAGTACTATAAGTGAAATTACAGGGTTACAGAAGAGAATTGTAGCAGTCTAGATTCAACCAAGAGAATCACATGGTGTTTTAAACAGGGAAAGCTTAATAAAAAATAGTTATTAATAATGATAAAAGAATAACTACATAAGAAAGCTGTATGGCAACAGGAAAACATATGCAAGGAAAGACAAATTTGGAAGGGGAATGACTTTCTAAGGATCCAGATCTCATTGGAGAAAATAGTTTAATCCACTGGATGGCAGAGGAACTCACTGCTTTGGAGGCCAGAGTCAGTCTGCAGGACATACAGGAAGCAGTGCTGGGGTGTGCGGGGAGGACAGGGCCGCTAACCTCAGCTGGTGCACAGGTGTGCAGTGGATAGGAGGATGTTCCTGAGGCAGGAGGCCTGGGTTCTCAGGTGTCCTTGTGGAGAAAGTCCTGTCAGGAAGTGGTGGTATGGAAAGGACTGTAAGAGCAAACCCAGGGGAGGAAGGAATGGTACAGAGGGAATCAGGACATCAGGGTGGCCAGGAAACTCGGAGCAGAGGACGTCCACGTGGACAGGGTCACAGGAAAGTGATCACTGTGGTATTCTGGGGGTACAAGGTCTCAGGGAGTCAATGTATTCTGATGCATAACTGGGACAAAGCATTCCTTGATGTCCACACACCTGAACTGAGAACTGCAGGCCCACCTTGCTGCAGCTGGAAAGAGCAGGAGCATCCCTTCCCCCTGCGGTGTTCCTCTAGTGCCCTCTACTGAGAAATTTTAGCACCGCACTCACAGCAAAGGAGAATTACATAAAGGAATTTAGTACCGCAGAGCATATATAAAGCAATGTGTTTGAGCTGAGAGGTATTGAGAGACAACAGATTGACTGTTGGCACCGAAGTACATTGAGAGGGCTAGGGAAATTAGGAGGAGAGGAAGCATGTAATGAATTATTTTTCAAGGATGTAACACTTTTGGCTGAGACCTGAGTTGAATAGAAGTTAACCAGGTAGAAAGTTTCGATGTGCATTCTTCAGGCAAAAGAAACAAGCTGGCAAAAGACATTTCATGTTTGAGGATCTCAGAAAAAGTTCAATGTGGCTAAAGCAAGAAGGTTAGGTGAAAGAGAGAAAAGGAGGGATAATAAGCTTTAAAAATCTGCAGGAAGACAACTACACAGGGCCCTGAGGCAATAATAGGGAATTTTGGATGTTTTTCAAACCTCTGTGGAAGCCATCAAATGTTTTAGGTAAGGGAATTTTCAAAAGCTCATTCTAACTCTTATGTTGAGAATGAACTGGAAGGTGACAAGAGTGGAATAAAAACAGCATTTGAAAAGCTAATGCTGTAGTTTAGGTGGGAGGCAATAGCAGTCATTTCCCAGGCACCAATAGTAAATTAGGTAGCCAGATCTTCAGATCTACTTATAAGCCAGAACAAATAGGATTTCTTGATAGGTTGAATGTGATAGGGTATTTGTTTTGGTTTAAATATGATACCTCCCCAAGACTCAGTCATTGAGGGCTTGATCCTCAAGTCAGCAATGTCTGGAGTTAGGCTCTAGAGAGGTGACTGGATCATGAGAGTGCTGACCATAGCAATGGATTGACCTACTAATGAGTTCACAACTGAATGGGCTGTTGGAAGGTGGAGACTCATTGCAGGAAGAAGGTGACTAGCAGGATACCTGTGAGGGTCATATCTTCTCCCTGGTCTCTCTCTCTCTCTCTCTCTCTCTCTCTCTCTCTCTCTCTCTCTCTCTCTCTCTCTCT